TTTGGGCTCAGTTGTGATTATTGTTTTTCTTTCCTAGTTTACTTGTAAGACTCAAGGAGGGGCTGCAGCTCGTGCCTCTCGCTGGGATGATGTATGAACTCACTCTAAAGTTGCTTCTGAATCAATAAACTTATTATTATTCATCAAAAAAAAAATGACAAGGAAATAAAGCACAACACAAAATGCCATAAGCTGTGCCACACACACCCACATACATATGCATGTATTCAGAACAGCGAGCATGTCAGTATGTATGTATGTATATCATGCACTGCTAACCACAAAATCTGGATAGAACAAAAGCTACTTATAAACCATTATCATCATCCAATCCTTAAGCCAACTATAAGGGGTCGGCCACATGAATCCTTACAGGTGCTGTCAATGGCCTTCTATACCTGTCACCAAACCATCTCAGTCTACTTTCTCTCATTTTATCACCAACAATTGGAACTACATTTAGATTCTCCTTCAAATGACTTCATTTTTTTTATAAGTAAAAAAGAAAATTCATTAATAAGAAAAAACAAATACAACCTAGAGAGGTGTTGAGGAAACACCTCCACCTAAAGCTAAGGAACAACAACTTCCCAAACACCTTCCTTTGAAAAACTTTTTCAAATGACTTCATTTATGACCCTATCCTTTCTAGTTTTTCCACCCATCCATCTCAGAATACATATTTCTGCCACTCATTTTTTGTACATGTTGTTTCTTGACTACCCAACAGTCTACTCACAACTGTTTTATAGAATTTTCCTTTTAATCTAAGTAGTATTTGCCTGTCACGTAGGACTCCAGATGCACCCCTCCATTTTGCCCATCCTGCTCTAATTTAAATATCTTCAATAAAAGGACTGCTAGCCCATTGGTTCAAATTTTCAAATATTGTCCTATTAACACAAAGATGTAACTATATTCAAGTCCTACATAGGCTAAACTGCTTAAAACCTAAGCATCAAGATACACCCTACAATATAGTAAATTATGTATTTAACATCAATGTCTAAGTTAACTCATCAGAACTTGCAACAACCCAGGTGAGGCACACTTGGGTTCAAGAGAGGCACACCACACAAAATGAACCTCAATTACGAACCTAAGTGTGCGTGAAGCACTCCAAACCATAGTTCAAGCCAATTTGATTACTACAGATTCAAATTATCCTATCAAACCATGAAATTTATAATGTGCCCATTCAGGCACCCGACTCATCTACAAAGAGCAGCTTAGAAGGGCAGAAAAGAGACATGATAAACTTCAGATAAAATGCAGTATATTACAGCTACAAAGGGATAAACAAGCTTACGTATGTTTCCTCTTATTTGTTCCATCTGGCTCTAAGAAGTAACCAGAAGCCCCATAAACCTCTTGCATCTGTAAATGAGGAGGAAATTTACATCCATGCATACCAATGAAAGTAATTCAACAAATAAGCATAGCAAGTCTAACAGAAAGGACACCTCCCAAGAAAAGAAATAGGAATGTATAGCCTGAAACCAATACATTAATAAGGTTTTCTGTCTACAGTGGCTTGAAGTATCAAGATGCAAGTGGCTTGGTCATAAAAATATTCTTGTCTACAAAGTTACAAAAGAGTCCCAGCTCAACAGCCCCACCTGCTTATCCAACCAGACAAGATACTGGACAACGGCTGCACCATCACGAATGTGTGCCTTTCTTAAGCCATCCAACTCAACAGGATTCTAGATTTTATAGAGAACAGTTCATAATCAAAAAGTTAGTATGATGCAAATAACATTAATCAAGTAACAATAAGGGGATGTTTGGTTCACTAATGACAAGTAACTTTTCTACTGATATCAATTGACCATCAGAAGTGTAAGTAAGTTTGGTTTCACATCTATAAAATAGATTTGATAACTAAGCTTAAGTAAATTAACCTAAGTAAAAAGAACTTACTTATACCTGATGATAAATAACTTATGTGATAAGTCACTTTCTCATAAGTAACTTATCATAAACCTTCTAACCAAATGCAACCTAAGAAGCTGAATGAAACATATAACACATGAATATGTAGATAGCAGATAGGAAGCACTAAAACTCAATTGATCAGCTCCATAGAAAAATTTTGGAACAGAACTTCTATTTTGTGAAGATGTGCATGAAATACTGCTAGCCTAGTTGGCATCCACAAAAAACTTAATCAGGATATAACTATACATGTTCTAGTTTGTCAACCTAATTGTATGATTTTTTAACAGTATCAGAAAGCATTAACATGTCCCTTTTTGCTTTGGGTTCATTACTTGAGATGACTTTAGCAGATAATATTGAGATAGAAAGAGGATGAGAAAGGCACGGCTGTACAAAATTATAATACGATATGTACAGGTAACTTTGTATTGAAACCTATAGAAGGAACTACTTCTTCCCTTTTTCTTTCTTTTATTCATTTAATAAAATTCTTTTTAACAAGGTAAGTATTGAATCAAAAGAAAATAGTATGCATCTCTTTCTACCAAATAAAAATAAGAATTTTATTCACTTGATAAAATTCTCACAATAATCAAAAAACCTACCGGTCCTCTTTCTTGTTATTCTTGCACCCCAAAAGACAGAAAATGATGCCAAACTGAAGCTTTGGCAAGCTTTCCCCAAATCCAACAGGAAACACAAGTCTAATCCAGACAATTAACATTTTGATAAAACACACCACTTAGAACAAGCATCTAATATTACAAAAATGCCATAGATGTGAAAAGCACCAACAGATCACTAGATTAAAATAAAAGACAGTAGACTGCAAATCCATTTAGATTCTCAAGTATTATTCACTCTGCAAGTTCTCTCTTGATGAACAACTTCACTCTCTGCATGTTTGATATCATGGGTTAAATGATTAAATCTTATTTGGAATTTTTAGTCAAATATACAAGAAGAGAATGTCCATAGAATAATTATATTAATATCATTAATCAGATCCTATATGGTTACATATACCTTGATAGCTTTTGCAAGGGCTAAAGGTGACTGCTGTAGGAGAACCTGATCAGAGTTCAGTACTGAGTAGAGCGCATAGCAGCATGAACCAGGGTCAGCCCATATGAGGCTTTTCTTACTCTCTTCTGCCTCATTTTCACCATTCCTCACCAAACCAGTTTCAGAAGTCACTTCTGCATCTTTTAGACATTCAACATGAGCTCCATTAATCAAAGAGGAGTTTAGCTGACCAGATGCAAGCAAAGCAGTATCTGATTTCACTGTATCATAATCACGGACTTCAATTCCATTCTCCTTCATGTAAGAGTGCACCTACACACCATAAAATAATTATGGGACAAGTACAAGTACCTGGGAAAGATGGCACTATCCTTTGACAGGGATATAGACAATAGCATGAAAAGTGAGGGACAAACATAAATGTGCTCTAATATCAAAGGGAAACTGAAATACGACTATTTAATTTATAATTTCCACCAATAGTTAAAGGCATTGACCAAGCAATTAGTGAAGAGATGGGCATGCATGAGAAATGAATTTGCATTCATCCCCATCATATTTGATTTCCATTTAGTACATACAGATTCAGGTTTCTAGTTCATTTTTCGAAATAGAACTGATGTTGTAGTTGATCAAAAGAAAAAACGGAGAGGTTACTAAAATGAGATTGAGGATAAAAATATATGTTCTTTTACAGAATAAATGGTGTGGAGTATGAAAATTGTATCAAGGAGCAACACTTCCAGGATAACTACCTTAGTTTGTACTTTGTGTGATTGGATCCGTCTTTCCTCTTAGGAAAGCTTTGTATCTAACACGTTTAGCATTAGATGATTGTATTAAGTTTGGATGATTAGCAAAGTTCTTTTAATCTTGTTAATAAAGGTTTTGTGATTGAGCCAAGTAGGGAGCTTCCCTACGCAATTTGTCACATTTCTGCCACATGGAGGGATAATGTGGCAAATCCAAGCCATTCACCAAGTAGGTAACCCTCTAGGTTGGCTATCTGTGCAATCTAAGTCTGCATGAAACTGTTGTCCACCTATTAGTCTCTTTCACAAGTTCAGCAATTCAATATTAAACTTGCCTGGAGGAGTTTATTCTGACCACATGGCAAGGATTTCTAGATTCAAATTGGTCCTACCAATAAAGGATGGCAAGAGGAACTTGTTGGGGCCATTTTGGGCCTACACACACACTAAAGCATTGTTTTAGTGCCCTACAAGCGCCTTGGGCAACAATAGACAAGAAGAGACAAGATTGTAATGTTGACAGGAATTTGCATCCAAAGAGTTAATTCAAAGATCTGTTTGCCTGCATAAGGAATGAGTGATTGAAGAGTACGTCACCCATAAAATTGCATGTGGGTGGATAGAGGAAACATGCTTTAGAAGATGATGCCTCACAATACAGGTATAGATCTGTCCATGCTTTTCAGTGTAGAATGTAAAGAAAATCATTTTCACAGAATGATGTAGCAGAGAAAAGGATATTTAGATAGATTAGGAGTAAAAGTATTATAGAATAAAACTTAAAATGAGAATATTAAAGAGAATTAAGGGTACAATTAATAGGTGACAGGCTAAGGAAAGGCAGACTGCATGACTAGGACATATGGAATAAAGATGCCCCAATTAAAAATAGAAGAAATGATTCATTAGGGGTCCTCAATGAAAACTGAAAAACCAAACCGAACCAATCTGATCAGTTTGGTTTTGTTTTGGTATTTTACAAAAACTGGTGATACTGGTTTGGTTTCCAGTTAACCTGAAAGAAAAACTGGCAGTTAACCGAACTGACTGGAATACATGCATAAATATATTATATTTTTAATTGTCTATTTATAACATATTAAATAAAGTATATATTATATATTTATAGTACTTATTTATATGTTTATATACTTTTTATAACATATATTGAAAATATATAAAAAAAAAAAAAAACTGAGAAACCAAAGAACCAAACCTGTCAAAAACTGAACTGATCAACTGGTAAACTAATTGGTTTCGGTTCACAGTTTTTTCAAAAACTAGTGGTACCAGTTCGGTTTCAAAAAAAAAAAATAGCTCATGGTTTGGTTAGCCAAACCGTGAGCACCCCCACGATTCATTGCAAGTTGAAATTTCTAAAAGGGCAAGGCAACTGTTGAAAGGAACATGGGTTCAACTGGTTAGAAAAGATTTAGCTCAGCATATTATTTAATAGAAGGTATTAATAAAGATCACAGAAGGAACATGTTTTGTGCTATCTACTGCCCTTAGACAGAACAAGGTAGATCATAGTTGTCAAGGTGTATAAGTGACCTAAGTTATTGTTAAAGTCATTTTCTTATTCAAATAATTTGTAATAAGTGGGCTAGCTAGTCTACTAGCCAAATCATTAAAATTATAAAAAAGTATCCCATATGGGAGTTCCCCCTCTTAAGTGGGGAGTTCTCTCTCTTTAAGTGGGAGGAACAGGTGTCCTTCACCTAGGAAGAGGGGGTAGTTACATAACCACCCCACTCCCTATTTAAGCTCCTTAAGGGGAAGCTAGAGACACACACAGAGACTCTTCGGAGAAAATTTTCACAAGAGATTCTTAAGAAAGGCAAAGATAAGGAGAGAAGAAAAGTGAAGTGCTCAAGGGAAGCCAAGGAAGGAAGAGTCTCACTAATACAGGTAGAGAAAAGGAAAGTCCTCTCTGTGAATACTTCCTATTTATGTCTTCTACTATGTATCCTTCTTTCTCTCCCTTTTGTTATTACTTTTGAGAAAGGAAAAAGAGGGAAATAAACCATCCACAACCAGGTGCATTTACTTGGTTGATTATGGTCCCTCTTTCAAGACAAAGTTAGGGATTAAACCATCTACAGTCTAATTCTCGAAGACTGATTATGGTTCCCTTCAAATGAAAATGAAGAGTADRGRGRAATRAACCATCTACAACCAGGTGCCTCTACTTGGTTGATTATGGTCCCTCTTTCAAGACAAAGTTAGGGAGTAAACCATCTACAGTCTAAATCTCAAAGGCTGATTACGGTTCCCTTCAAATGAAAATGAAGAACGGAGGGATGAAAATCGTCTACAATCAAATATTCAATTTAATTGACTACGGTTCCATTTTTGTATGCAAAATTCCGAGTAAGGCCGTCTACAATCAGAATTTCATCTGATTGACTACAACTTATTATGAAGAAAGGAGTGAGAAGGGTATTAAAGAAAAGAGAAATGTATTGCTGTATAGTTTCTCAATTGTATTTTCTTTTTCTTTCTTCTCATTCTTGTACACCTGATGTAAAAGAAAAGCAAATGAAAAGTTCTTTTTAAGTATCCTATTGTTCTTTTCTTTTGTTCTATGCGTTCATTTCTCCAAGTCAGAATCAAAAGGTGTTCTCTACTTTCCTGTGGGGATGTAATTAAGGGGAACAATTCATATGATTCCCTGAATGGGCCTTACCCAAAATAATAAAAACTCAATCACTTGATTGAGTGAATTATGTTGCATGAGAATTTATTAAAATTTTCACACCAACAGTTATGTACCCACCAGCAAGCATACAAATAAAAAATAGCAAAGTTCTTTACTAAATAATATTGAATTTTATATCAAAACATCATATATCATCATACCAAAAGACAAAGCATTTTAAGTCTATTAGTTTCAATATTTCAAACACAATACTTTTATTAGTAAAAGTAACTAAAAGAAGAATTTAGCAAATAAAGAATTCAATAATTTTTTCTAATAAATGATTTAACATTTAAGAAAGAAAGAAGGAAAGAAAATAATGAAATATAAAACACACACACACACAAAAACAAAAAGGGGCCAGAGCCCTTGCTTTCTTCAATTTGAGAGAGAGAGAGAGAGAGATTGCGAAGGAGAAGAGGAAGAAGAGAAAAACAAAGGGGCTCTCTCTTGTTCTTCAATTCTTTCTCTCTCCTCAAAAGTATTGGGCCTTGTATGAAACCCTAAAATAGAACATCAATAATATACAATAGTATATTATAAATGATGTATCAAATATCAAAACACATATTGATAAGATTCAACTATGGTGATAAAATTACAACGAGGTGTTAACTTCTTTATTTTTGTAATCTAGCCAACCACCTTGTCACCTAGAAGAGTGTTTTTTTTTTCTATTAACTTATATTTAACTCATGACATTTAAGCTAGGCACCCACCAAGGCCCTGTTTCCTCAATGACAACATGACAACTATGAGTAGATGATGATTATGATGAAATTCATCCAAGGCAGAGCAAAGAAGGAAATTATATCAACTGTCAACAAGTATAATATCCAGCATTAATCAAATTTGTTGCTGGAAAAGGACAAATTATCGATTTTCCCTACTTTACTAGAGTTTTTTAGTTAACTTCTACTTTATGTTATTAGGTTCTGATGAGTGATTTCTATGTCTTCTTCAATGCATTGCTTTCTTAAGTCTGATAAGGAATCAGATAAACCTGTTAGAAAGTTTTCTTACTGTTAATGCACAAATCCAGGTCTGTCCTTAACATGTTAGCCTTCAGAGTCTGTTAATCTGTTAAGTGACTCTTAAAGAGCTAGACTCAAAAGAAAAGTGTTTTGTTAGTTGTTTTGTTTTACAGTTATATTTATAATATATACTTTTTTCTCAAAATAAGAGCTAAAACTCAAAATGAAACACTGTATGTTATGCCTTTTGTTGTGAGCAATAAGAAGACAAATAACCAAAGAACACTTGAATCGGAACTATTGCTGCCACTGTTACCATAATTATTATCGCCTTTATTATTCCTTATCGTAATGGAAGGGCTAAGCAAAACGACAGTAAGAGCTACTGGTGGTGGATTCCTGGAAGGTTTTGAAGTGAAGAGTGATGGGTCCAAGATTGCTCTCCTTCATTTTGCCAACAACACACTTTTCTTTTGTGAAGACAAGATGAACCAGATCACCCACCTAAAATATCTATTGTGCTGTTTGAGGTTGTGTTGGGCCTAAAATTAAATTTGGCAAAAAGTGAGATGATGGCTGTGGGTGAAGTTGACAACTTGCAGGAACTAGCTGGGACCTAGGCTGCAAAACTCGCCACCTTCCCTCCAAGTACCTAGGCCTGCCCCTGGGAGCAAGGGGTACCTCAAAGTGCATTTGGAATCCTATTCTGGAGAGGTTTAACAGGAAATTAGCCCTATGGGAGACTCACTGTCTAAAGAAGGCAAATTAACACTTATCAGGAGCACGCTAGCCAGTGTTCAGCATATTACATGTCCCCATTCTCAATTCCTAGAGAGGTGGCAGAAAAAATCAAGAAAAAACATGAATTCCTGTGAGCTGGGTGGAAGGATTCAGAAAAGTTTCACCTGGCGCTCTGGAAACTGACCAAAAAGAAGCAGCAAGTTGAAGGGTTTAGAAGGGCTAGGGGCAGACCAAAAAGAACATGGGTTTAAGTAGTAAGAATGATTTAAGAGCTCACAATTTAACAATGGATATAGCACTAAACAGAACAGAATGGTAAAACATGATTCATGTAGCAGACCCCGTATAGCTGGGATAGTGTTTAGATGATGATGTGGCCATGATTTTGCTTGAATCCTACTTGTTCATCATTAGGAGGTAGGACAGACAACATATCCAAGCAATGCAAAGTTCCATCCTGTATAAGAATACATTAGGAGCAATAAAAATCCCACATTAAGAAACTAACCTCATCAGACATCTTTTTCTTGTCCACGTAAAAGAATGCCGAGTTGGATGTTACTATACCAAAAGCATGAACTACCGGGCAGTAAGATACATCATTCCCTCGAACATTATACAACCAAGCTACCTGCATATCAACAGTAATAACAGAAATAGGTTCTATGGCAATCAAAGAAAGATAACTGATTCAGAAGCGCCCTATTCAAATACAACGTTGAAAGCAAACAAGCAGTTAGGTGCAGATTCTTGGGGAAGGGTTGAGACAGAGTTACCTCATCAAGTGCTGTAATAAGAATACCATGAGCTTTCTCCTGTGAAAGTTTTTCTCTCAAATTGTTCAACTTTTCAACAACAGAACGACCAGAAAATTCCAATGGATGTGCAATTACAGGCTTGATTTCTGGCAGAGGCCTGTTCTTCCAAATTTCATCTACTAAGTTTGTGGATGTCCGGACCAGTTTCTGTTGTTTTTTCGTGAAAGCATTCTCCCATCTTTGTGCAGTTTCTATTGATACACACCAAGGGTCAACCCCAATAGCAGTATCTTTTGGCAGATTCTAAGAAATCATCACAAAAGCCAAGCACACACCTTAAAATCCATAATGAATACTGATGACTAAGAACAAGTACAAGTGAAATGATTATGGAGATACATAGTGGTCATAATATCGTTTTCCAGGATCCGGTAATAGTATACATGAATGATTTTACACTTTATTTTCCTTTTTCTTTTGGAAAGTAATGTTAAATGTATTTATATATCAAAATGTTTCATGTGCACCACAACCCATATACCCCATGTACAATGAGGCTTTGTAAAAATGTTCAGATTGTACAAAAGAAAACAAAGCCTATAGCAGATGAGTCATCTAAATAAAGGTTTCAAATAAAAAAAATAAAAAAAAAACTGATGGGGAACTTTGTTTTCCTTTAGAAGATTTTATCAAGATGAAAAAATTGGAAAAGATAAGAGGAAGTAGGAAAGCAAAAATAATTTGGAGCTGCATCCCTTTCACAATTTGCTGGAATATCTGGAAGGAGAGGAACAGAAGAATTTTTTAAGATAAATCTTGGTCAATGGACAGGCTTGTGGAAGCAATCAACAAACCTGTTGCTGAGTGGATGCTGATATTACCAGATTTTAAACAAGTCTCTAGGGAGGATCTGGGGGATTGAGCTTGGGGAAGTGTTGGGGTTCCAATTGTGTAATCTGGAAAACCTTATATGATAAGTTGGTAATTTTCTGGTTGCATTCATGTTTATGGTGATGCCTTATCACCTGCTAGAATGTACTTCTTTTTTCTTTTAATGAAATTTCACTTTACCACCAAAAAAAAATTGGAAATGCAAAAAGCAGAAAAGAGAGTGCATATTTTGTCTTGTAAGTTGTAACTGAAAAGCCCACTAGTTTTCAGATTGGATTTCAAACATAAGAACACTCTAAAGTGTAAACATATCATTCTTATGAAATTTTTAAAACAAAATTGGTAAAACAATATCTAGCATGAAATCTTAATTTCTCAAAATATTAGAGCTTCTTCTTTCTGGATATTTTGAAAGTCAGGATCCTTTAAATATCAGAGATGGCACCCTGCAATGAAGATTCCAAGAGAAACAGAAAGGATGAGACACCTTGTAAGATTTCTTATACAATTATCAAATGTAAACATATCCAACTTAACACAAAGAATACAGATCATTTCTTTACAGCCATCTAAGTAGGGGTGATCATGGGCCAGGCCAGGGCTTGGCACCTATAATAAGGGGCATAGACAGGACCTGGCCCACAACCACAACCTGACCCCAGTCCAGAAATACAAGTCTCAGGCCACCTACATGGGCATGGGCTGGGCTTTTAGGCCTATAGACTTTAAATATATTATATTTAATATATATATTTATATAGTCTTTTATATTATATGATACATATAATATATACATATACACAAAATTAATGTTATTTTTTATAAATAACAGAAATCAATTCATTAACCAGAAGCAAACACCAGCTGCTCAAAACAAAAGGGCAGCAGTCCAAGAAGTAAAATAGCTTCCAAGTTAGATTCAGTATTCTTGGATTGCAATTTTGGTTTCAGAAGGGGTCTAAGAGAGATGGAATGTGAGACTCGCATACTTCTTTTGGCCAAGTTAGATTCAGTCTTCTTGGACCAAAGAACAGAGGACTCAAAGGTTTGGGCAGTTACTACTAATTCTATATTCACATGTGCTTCTTTCTTCAATAACCTAATACAGCCTACCACCTTGGGTTTAAACCTCCCAGTGAAAGAAATTTAGAGCAAGCCGATTCCACCAAAAATTCAAGCTCTTTGTTCGGAGATCTTTCTTGGAAAAATAAATACTTGTGACTTGCTACAGAAAAGAAGGCCAAATAAATGCCTTTCCCCTCATTTTTGTTGCCTTTGCAAAGATAGTGGTGAAAGTATTTCTCATTTATTTATTCACTGTACTTTTGTGCGTTGAACTTGGGACTTGGGAGCATTTTTATTCTCTTTTTGGATGTGGATGTACTCCTCCCCGAGATGTGGCAGGTCTCTTTGATACTTTTTGAGACAGCCAAAGAAGAGAGGAAGAATTTTGTGGAAAGCAATGAGAGCAGCACTGGTTTGGACTATTTGGGAAGAAAGAAATGGGAGGGCTTTCGATGGAAACAGCAGGTCTGAATTAGAGATCATAGATACAATTAAGATAAAAGTTGCACATTGGATAAAAACCTTGGAAACCTTCCATGGTTTCTCCTTTAATGATATTTTGCGATCATCGAAGGAAGTGACAAATTCAGCTCAAGAGAAGGAGAGAGTGATTATGGAATGGAAAACCACCAACAACCAATGCTGTGAAACTAAACTTTGATGGAACTTTTTGGGAAGTGAAGCAAGGGCTGGTTTCGAGATTCAGAAGGTAAGTTACTAGCGATATATTCGGATCATGTAGAGCAAGGAGATTCGTTGACAGCAGAACCATTGGCTTTGCTTCAAGGGCTGAAATTTGCAAAACAGTTTGGGTTTCAGATGCTGGAAGTGGAAGGGGACTCCCAGATGGTTGCTTCTGAGACAATTTCATAGCCAAATGCCTTGGATTTAAAGGCACAAGATCCGGAAAATTGAATGTTTAACAAGGTAACTAAATGTTACTTTTAAATGGGTAAGATCTGCAAATGGCATGGCAGATGCTTTAGCTAAACAAGGGGCAAATAGGTAGCAGATATTTTGGGCTAAATTGTAATCAATGATCAAAGTATCGGCATCGAGTACCGTATCGGATAGTTCAGATATGGATACGGATACACTTTGAAAACACATGGATATGGACAAAAGATATCGGAACGCTTGGATACGCTAGGAAATGCATACAAAGCACATAAATACATTAATAACACTAAATCTAAAGCTAAATTATCTGTGAATAAGGTATAAACACATGAGAAATGCACACTTTAATAGGTTATATGAAGAGAAACATTGCAAACAACAAGACCGGGACATTAAAACATGTACACGTCATATAATAATTCTCACTTCTAGTTTTCATATTTTAATAAATTTTTGGGAAATTTTATTTATTTAGGATTTTTACATAAACAATCTCTATTTTCAAATAATAAATATGTTTTCATTTTTAAAATATAATTGTAAAATAAAACATATAAATCATTTAAGGTAGATAAAATAAATTATTTTTATTACTTTCAGTTTTTATTAAATTTTGGGAAAAATAAATCTTAAATTATTTATTTCAGTTTTTATAATTATAATTTTCAATAATTATTAATTTTGTTGGGAATTTTTATTTATTTAATATTTTCATATAAATAATAACTCTACCTTTTCAAATAATAAATATGCTTTTATTTTTAACATATAATTTATATGTAAAATCAAACATATAAATCATTTAAGGTAGATAAAATAAGTCATTTTTAACATTCAGTTCTTATTAAATTTTGGAGGAAAATTAAATCTTAAATTAACTATTTCAGTTTTTATGATTATAATTTTCAATTTTATTAAAGTTCAAAAATAATCAAAAAGCAGTCAATACATAGTTTCATCAAACTAGGCACCAATATGCTTTTGTATCAGTGCGTATCGGACCGTATCCACTAATACAATGTGATACGGCTCAATATGGAGGTGTATTGTGCCCACATGCACGACTCATGGGATATGTATCTAGTTGTGGTGTATCTCGTATCCATGGCCATGGATACAGATACAATACACCCCGTATTGGGAGTATTGTATCACTACTTTAAACCTGATTGGAATGCTTGTTCAGGGTTTTGTGTTCTAATTGTATTTAAATAATCAGTTGGAAGTGGGTAATTTACTCACAGCAATGTAACCTCCAGTTTAATTATATACTTAATACATTCTACCTTTGCTGATCAAAAAAGAGTACAACAGCTTCCAACAACAGAAGCCTCATAAGTAATAACGAGGAAAAAATATGACACAAAATTAATGTTACACTTAACATAATAAAATATATACTACATGTATCATATTGTAATCTAATCTGGTTCAAGCTAGGCATAAAGTATTGGACCTAGACCTGGCCCACAAATTTCTGGGCCTAATGTGAGCTTGAGACTGGATCAAGACTGGACACAAAAACTAGGTCCAAGCCCAGAAATTTGTGGGCTAGGCTAGACAAAAATTATGTCAAGGCCCTTACAAATTGGAAATTTATTTTTAACTTATAAGCATTCCATGTATTCATCAAAAAACAAAACAAAAAACAAAAAACTTAAAAGAATCCCATTTGAAAATGTATACAACTTTCAGTAAAATGGCTACTCACATCAGCTATCCAAGTCTCCACAGATGGGTCTTCCCCAATGCGCATAAGCTTCCAACGGTCACTTAGCTGCTGCATTGCTTGCAAGAAGTATCGCCCATCGGTCCAAAGTCGTGCCTCGTTCATTGTTATAAGTGCCAAACCTGAATGAAAGGTTCAAATAAATAGAGGCTTCAAAAGCATATATGTAACCTGATAAGAATTCAGAATGAAATAAATGCATATAGCAATGTTAAAGGAACCAACTTCACATCATCAAGGCAGCAAGAGAATGCATTGAGATGCTACTAATATCAGTTCAGCTAAAATTAAAAAGAAAACAGAGAACACTTCTGGAAGAAACCAATGTCGTCACGATTGGATGAACATGTCTTTTCTCAATGTGGCACACTCTTCTCCTGAAACATATATAACACATACAAGAGGAGAATGTAGGAGAAATGAAAACAAGTCATAGGGAAAAAAAGGGGCATCCTTAGAATCCCACCCAATAGAATCAAAACCTCGTTTATTGAGAATCATTAATGACCAGATACTATTAGATTAATGAGGGAATCCACACAAACATTCGCTGATGAAAGATTTCCCTTTCAAGTTTCGAGTACCCAACAAACCTGCCTCCCTAGGTCTAATCACATATCTTCATTTAAGAAGACGATTTTTTTGTGGGCTTCTGTATCTGAAAATGCTTCAATGTTTCCACCACACTAATTAACTCCTTCAGAGGTTCATAGATAATAAACAAGGAGATTATGTCAGATGTCTTTCATCAACAGAACTCTCTCTCCAAAGGATATGTCATTTCCATTTCAAGACGCCAGCCACTTACCAAGTCTTTCTACCATAAGATCCAAAAACTGTCAGGTTTGCTCAGATCCTTCAACCTTAAGTTACAGGGATACTTTTTCCCAAATTCATATTGAACCAAAAACCAATTTCAAATAAATCGAATACTTTTCAAATGAAGAATACCTCTCTATTTGTTTCAAGGAAGAGAATGTTGACATACCTTATTTTTTTTTACTGCTCACTTGGAATTTTAGAAGGCTTTCTGGGTTTCTTTTTTTTTCAACCCAACAAAAAAAGGAGAAAGTGGGGAAAAAAACTATGATTCCAGAAGTTCAGGAGCCAGCCAGGATTATGACTTCACCTCAACTCCTATTTCCTCATTCAGAATGCTCTCTGATCTCTTCTCTTTTTGCTAATTAAAATTTGAGATACAGAATAAAACGAATAGACTCTCATTGTAGCATCAATCATTTCACTCCAAAAAGCTAAGAAACAACCCAGATTCTGTTCCATAAGATTATCAAGATGGATAGAATGACCATTCTGTTGATCGTAAGAAAAATGTAAAACTTCAACAAGTATTCCTTCTGTAACAAAACATTCTTGAAGCCTCTGGACATGCAAGTCCATATGGACTTTAGCTAATACTGGCTTCTGAAAGCGATGCTTATAAAGCATCGTGGGATTTACTTACTGATCAGTAAATTACAATTATCAAACCACGGTACATGAAGGGCTTGGAATACGAATTGTTTTACCAGCTAAGTATTTATAAATTCAGAAACTATTAAATAGAGAAGGAAAAGAATATCGGTTTTGAAAGACGGAATAGTTTATCATTACCACCCATAGTTTTGAATAAGTCATTAGTATTTTCGTATTTCATATCGAGCAAAAGTCACTAAAACGGAAAGATAGAGTTAGATAAACTCACCAGCGCTGCCACTGAATCCAGAAACAAATTGGCGCCTTTTGTCCCGCTCAGACACATATTCGCTCTGCCACACAAATATCCATCAACAAAAGAATACATTGTTAAAAGTACTAAACAAACTAAAGCACATAAAAAGAAACCCTAAGTGAATTAATTGAAATTAATGAACACAAGTATCGGATGACCTTTGTGATGGTCAAGGAACAGAGTTTATTAAGAAAACGAGTTCCAACGCAGTTGCAATTGGATTTCCAAAAATACGATAGATTAGTACAGATATATTCATCAGATTAGACATTTTGATTTTGATTATTGAAGTCAAAAAACACAAAGACACTTGCACACCACCATAACATACACGCACGGAAGAGAGTAGGGATGACCTGATGATAGTCTTCAGAAGGAACAATTAAGGCATCGAGTGGAGGAGAATGAGAAGCCATTAGAGGCCTCAAAGCGTCGAGAGGGTCTTCCATTGTCTCTTTCTCTCTCTGAATGTGTATGTTTTCCGACGAATTTCCGATGATGGAGGAAAAACCTGTAACCAGAATGATGGGAGCTTTATAAGACCATCACTGAAATCGGATTGAGTACTCACAAAATCGTTCTCACACCGTAATCGGATTTCAGTACTCACAAAATCGTTCTCACATCCTGCTCACAGCCACTTGCAACTGATTGGGAATATCTCTCTATCAATAAAAACATATACACGGTGTGAGCACCGTTTTGTGAGTATTGAATCCGGTCTTTTTATCATTATCAATCTAAAAGAAAGTAAATTACAGATAACTACCTGTGCAAGTGTACAGCTGTGCTAGCTAGTGGCAATTATCCCTAAATTTTCATTTATAAGTTGAATGATGGAAGAAACTTCTATAAAACATCGCACTTCAGAAACTTTTATAGAATATAAATTTTAACAAAAAATTAAAAAAAAAAACTCTTATAAAAATACAATAAATACACCATAAAAGTAATATCAACTAAAATCGGTAACAAATGAAAATAAAAATCATTGAAAAAAAGTGTAATTTGAAGATTTAGAAAAGCTTAAACAATCACATTACAATCTTTTTCAAAATTCACCGACGCATTTATCAGAATCAGGGTACTTTATTGCAAATTAAAATTTAAGAGGTGATTAACACTACTCCAGATCCAGAGGGTAATTATATGTAATTTACCCAAAATAACGCCCAATAAGCTTTGCCTTTACTTTTTAATATTTTTGACACGTATCATAATCAAGTTCGAATCCGCGCTTTACCACGTCCACATATGATAGGCTCCGATAGGGATTGCGGAATTCAGAATTGAAGTCCGACATGCACAGGCATCATTATTTGCGTAAAATATAAGCGGTGGGTCCCATCTTGATCAATCCTCAAAATTAACAGTATGATGATATCAACCAGCACGATCAATTATCTTAAAAGAGATATCGGCCCGATCTCTCTGTATTCCATGAATACTCACTCATATTAAAATTAGATACTTTTTGTCGGCACGTATAGTGCAACTTCAGTTGAATTCGAATAAATATTCTCGGCAACGTGGATAGGGAACCGGAAATCAAAACTTCTCTTGTCATTGTGATTTGTTTAAAAAATGAGGTAATAGCCTATGAGGGTAACTTTTGGTATTTAATATCAATAAAAATAATATATTTAATTTTTTTAAAATATAATATCAATAAAGGACAAAAATATTGTTCATCTTTTTCATATTGCCATTTGTTCATCAAAGTCGCCGCCACCTCCGGCAACGTTGCCAAAGGCGGAGGCAGAGGTGGGTGGAGGCGGCAATGGACGGCGGTGGCGGGTGGTGGTGGGCGGTAGCTCTGATGAACAAATGGCAATAAGAAAAAGATGAACAGCGTTTTTGCCCATTATTGATATTATTTTTAAAAGATCAACAATGTTTTTGCCCTTAAAAAATCAATACAAGTAATTAATTATATCATACTTTTAACGTTTTTTAAGGTTAATGGCAAATTTATTGTAATCATCAACAAATTAACGTGTCATTTGGCATTGTTTTTTTAAATATCTTTTGAAAAATCTGACTGTCGATGTAGTGGAGATTTAAATAAAGATCTTGGTAGTCCGTAGAGCGTTTGATTGGAGGCATGTTTTTCTGTGTATCCTTCTATGTAAAAACAATACAATAACAGTCAAAAAGCTCCATTTGAATAGCCCAAAATAGGCTTCTGTATCTTTTTATGGTGGAGTCTTTCGGTGGCTATATCTTCCTTTAACCAAATGGGAAAAGACAAAAATGTAAGTTGTCGAGCTTCTAAACAGCCAATAGCCCATACGGAAAGGCACACCGAATGTAACCTAAATTACTTCCATAAATTAGGGCTGTTCACGGGTCGGGTTGCGTCGGTTTATTGAGGTTTTTCCAACCGACCCAACCTAATCGGGTTACCTGAGATGGAAACCGAAACCGACCCAATGTTAAGCAAAACCGACCTAGTCGGTTTAAGTCGGGTTGGGTCGGTTTCGGCTCTAAGTTCATCCATGCCCCCCATGGCCACCTAGTTTTCTGAAAATATATTTAAAACTGAAATATGTATTTTATAAATATATATATATATATATACATATATATATATATAAACAAAAATATACATACAAATATATTGGAATATATATTTTATGGAAATATATATATGACATATTACATAATATATTTTTTAGATATAGATATTGGAATATATATTTTCAGATATTTCAGTTTTTAGTTCAGTAGGAACTAAGTCGGTTCGGTTTATGGATTTGTACAACCCAAAACCGACCGGTGCTGATGAAAACTCGGCTGACTCGGGTTGGGTCGGTCCGGGTTGGTCGGTTTGATCGGGTTGGGCCTTCTTATGAACAGCCCTACCATAAATAATGACCTTGTAAGCATTATAGGCCATCTAATAGCAAAGAGGCCGGGAAAGCTCATAGGCCACCATTTCATTACAGGAACCAATCTTGAATTGACATGGACTTGTTCATGAACTAACCATATCCAATATGTTACTGGGTAGAGTTTGGTTCTAAATTCTTGGAGCCAACCCCACCTACGTCAATTCCATGGTTTAGGGATAATTGTGGAGATAAATAGGAATTAGAGATAATTTAGAAGATAAATTATAATTAGAGATAATTCTAAGAAAGTGGGGGAGGCAGTTTAGGATACATTTTAGGAGAATAAATTATTTAGGTTATTGGGAAAGTGCATCTCATTGGTTGTTTAAAAAATGACATGGAATAAAAAAAACAAAAAATGAGAAAAAATTTGCCCTTAATAAGACACGGGCAACCACTATATTGGTTATATTTGCTCAATTTTGTTTTTTATACAAAAAAGTGTGTTAAGGGTATTTTTGGAATAAAAAATCATGGATCTAATGGAAAAACAAACACTCCTTAATGAAAGGTTGATTAAATAAATAAGTTGTAAAATATATGGGATGTTTTAGTAAAATGAAAACTATAAGGTAGGTTTAAGTAAATATGTAAAACTATAAGGTGTGTAGGAATGGCAACAGGGCATGGATCATATTCCCCGTCCCCGACTCCGATTCTGAAATTAACCCCCATCCCCAATCCCCGATGGGGATGGGTTCCCCGTGGGGACCCAAATCCCTATAGTGTTTTCAAACAATGGTTTTTTTAATTAAATTTATTTAAAGTAAATAAAAATAAAAATTATAAATAATATTTTAAATATGTTTTGATATATATAATATAAATAATATAATAGTATATTTAATAGAAATAACATTTAATATATATATAGATATAATCGGGGTCAGGGCGGGGTGGGGACCACAATCCCCATCCCCAACCCCGATCGGGGATTCCTATTAATCCCTGTCCCTGCCCTCACCCCGCCAAAACAATCCCTATCCTCGACCCCATCGGGTCGGCGAAGTTGGGTCCCTATCGAGGATGGGGAAAATTGTCATTCCTAAAGATGTGTTATAGTAAATGACCATAATAGAAACACATAAGAGTATACAATTATTTTATATTTATAATTTTATAAATAATTAATAATTATTCATATTTTATATACTACTTTTAATAAAGTTTTTATAATACTGAAATAACAATAATTATTTTCCATTAGGTTTATTCATCAAACTAATGAAATCGACATACCCGATTAACTCGACTCGAGTTGGTCGGTTTTCTAGTATTTTAGGTTGGCTTTGGTTCAAAATTTTCCCAATTCGACCAAGTTGGATCAATTTCACTTTGGCCATTTGTAAACTCACCAAAATCAAATGACCTAACCATGGATATATATTAATATTTTATATTTTAAATATAATTTTTAATATGGAAAAGTGAGAAACTTCTCATATTTCATAGTCTAAAATGTTTTATATCATAAATATAATTTTTAAATTTATTTTTAATAATTGTACTATAATTTTTAAAATAAAATTAAATTTTTAAGTTTAAATCTTTTGAACCGACTGACCAGACAAAAAAATCGATCCAAATCGATACAACTTGAGTAGGTCGATTTTCACAAAAAAGTTAGTCGATTTTAGCTGACCAACTCCCTAACCTGACCATATCAATTTGGTTGGCCAAATAGCCTACGACCGAATCGAACCAACTCATGAAAGCTCATGATTTCAGCTAAATTAATAGTCTCATCTATGACAAATAACAATAGTTTAATCTCAAATAATTATTGAAAATTTATAGCAAAAATACACAATTTTATTTGGGCAAGTACCTTTTTAAGATTTAGGTAAATTATGTATCCATCTGCACAAAAAAACTATTAATATGTGAGAAGACAATATTATCCCTTCAATAATATCACTTTTTTTAGCAAAAATATTCATTGTACGATTTTAACTAGGGAATAAAGAACAATGATAAATACACTTATCCAAGCAAATGTTTGCCAAGATAAATGACTTACTAAGTCATGAATAAAGCATTAATGAAGAATTCGGATATGGTCCTCATAGAACGTTCTTCTCACCACCATCACAGTGTGTTCCAACCACACATCGGGAACATCTCCAATACATGATGGTATGGAGCTGTGAGGTGTGCTAGGAGAAAATCCCATGACACTTTATGTCAGCATGTCACATGAAATATCTGGGTTGGGATCTGCTCCTCATAGAGCGCAAGTCGCATCTACCTCACAGGCACATCTCACCGTATATTAGAAAAATCTCTCGAGGAGCAGATCCATAATCGAAATATCTCAACCAATACCTGTTGGCCGTCGCTATCTGAAATGTAAGAATCAATACATAAAGTCATAAATCCATTAACAACAGGACTAATCCAAATCTCTACCGGAACTAATTAGATAATAAGTCGTCAACAGTCAACTTGATGGTAAACCATTAAATTCACGTTAATAGAGATGACATGGTGTATCGCAATTAGCTTGACGATTGAATATACACAAAAATGGGAAAATTCCCGATTAGTACCATGTATTTTGTGCCTAGTGTCACTTCGGTCCCCAAAATTATCAACCATCTAAACGTTGACAAAAAATTAACAGTCCCAAATTCTTGCTTCTTCCATTCAAGAAGATTGGGGTTACGTTTGAATGGGCATTCTAATGACCTCAACTTTCTTGAATAGAAGAGACAAGAATTTGGGATTGTTAATTTTTTGTCAATGCCTGGATGGTTGATAAAGAAAATAAGATGATACTTGAAAGGCATTTGTGTTTTTTTAATATCACTTATCAGTTAATTAACAGTTAGTTAACGACAAATACTGGATTATCATATTTTAAAAATTCAAATACTGAATTGTTACATTTTAAAATTCGGGAACCAAATAACACTAAACCCAAATTACAAAGGTCCCCACCCCAAAAATAAAATTGCACACACTCCACATAAATCTCAAAATTGGAGCTCTTGTAGCATAGTCCAGACTTGTTAGACAGTGGATGCAGCCAATGTGGCAGAAACCGCCATCGCCGTCCAATAGAGAGATCAACTGGCGTTTTGAATTTGATAAAAAGGGAACTGTATTCGTGTTTTAACCGGTGTTTGAACAGATGTCTTTTCTTGAAAAGTAGTGCCACGTTTAAAATTTATTTTTCAGATCATGCCTAATATTTGGTTGTTATTCTTTTCTGAAAAAACGTTTTTCAAACCATCTTTAGAAATTGAGAAATGTGAGAAAATATAATTCGTAGTATTTTCTCGTTTTTACTGTTTGCAGCAATAATATAGGGATTGGTTTCTATCAGGGCAAAGTTGTACCGACACCGTTCTAACAGCCATTTTCACCCTTGCATCGAGAATATCTCCTTATAAAATAAAACATAGAAGCATGAAGATATTCTCAATGAAAGGCTGTAAAGCGTGTTTGAACAGGCTTTGTCCTGACTGAAGCCAAATTCAATAATATATCGATTTAATATTAAAAAACACCACAACCGGCAACGGCCCCAAACAAAGAAAACGTTTTCTGAAAAACAGCATTTTTTTGAAAGCCTAAAAAATGTAGCACCTTTTTTCTTAAAAATGCCGCCCCTACATTGATTTCAAATACCGGACCGCTTCAGACTGTGGTCGCAGTAAATGACCAAAAGGGGCATAAGACAAAACATGTTCTGTTGACTGTTTCCATAACTATGGGCATGGACATATTACTGCGCCCTCCTCGGTCTTCACCTTCTAAGTTCTAAGTTCTGAAGACCATGGACCTTCTTTTAGGTTGTGTTTGGTTTGACGGGGAACAGGAGAGAACAGAAAGCAAGTTGAAGTTCTAAAGCAACTCAAAATTCCTTTTAAGAGAGAGTGGATCTTGCAACGGCTCTTTGTAACAAAATTATTGTTATTCTAATCAGACGGTCATCGATGTGGATTTCGGTTCTGCGGCAAACCATGGGAGTTGGCAGAGCTTGCACGGCTCTGATTGATGAACGTGAACGGGAACTGTGCATGTTGTAATGAAGAAAGCAATGACGTAAGCTAAAACTATTAAAGCAATTCGTTCGGTCATTTACCGCCATTCCGCACCTCCACTCGAAGCCAAGGCTCTTCCCCCTCCTATGGCTCCTGCTCAAAAGCCTAGCAATGATGTCCCTAATACACAGAAAGAGAGAGATTTCTTGAATCATCTCGAAGCTTACCTCGCGAAGAGGGATGGCGTCGACAAGCTACTTAAAATCTCCAGGTACGCTACGAAGATCATCCTCGCTTCCTCGGTTCTTCCCCAATCCCTACCCTTAAATCGTCGCCTAAGAAGCTTCGAGTCCAGTGTCGGCGTTAGTCGAAAAGCCTTTCGATTAGGTAAATTCGTTCAGGACTTGAACGCTCTGAGGAACGCCAGTTTCGATTCCAACGTAGAGAGAATCCTTTCTGTTCTCGCTTATGGAGGTGAGGGTTTTTATTACTTTGTCGAGCAGCTCGTTTGGTTGAATAAAGCGGGTCTCCTCGATAGTAAATATTCGTTGAAGCTGCAGAAGATCGCGGCCTGGGCTGAATTCATTGGGTTTTTCGGTAGTACTACCTTGAAAACCAGAGACTTGAAAAGGATCATTGAGAAAGAAACTAGTTTGAAGTCTCGTATCGAGCTCGCTAAATCGACGGGCCATGGGTACGATAAGGAAGCGGAGGAGATGCGTAAACTGGGGGAGAAGAAGTTGATAAAGAAGCTCTCCATCGTTCAAGATGCTGCGGATTGGTTGATGACCTTTTCGGATGTTCGGGATGGTAAGGGGTTCCTATCGGATCCCCTTTTGTTGGCATCGGCAGGGCTTCTATCGGCTCTAATTAGTACGCATAAGAACTGGCTGTCTTGCTGAGCTGAGTTGGAATTTACTTGCTGAGGTACGACTCACCAGTCGCCATTTGTCGATGTCGATTATAATAGTGAACATAAAAGGAGCAGAAAATCACGCAAGGTGGATAGTTATAGGGACAGAGATAAAGAAACGATCTGAGCTCATCAAGGTTTCCTGAAAAACCCAAAAAAAATAATAAAAGCCTCTCTCTTGTTCATGTCGTCTTCTTATTATCTTTTAACTCAGTTTGGACTCTGGACTTCTTGTAGTTACTTGGAACAATGATGAGAACACTCTCAAGTCTCAACTCTCAACTAGCAAGAATGTACTAATTTAGTGGAATACATTTTCGAGAAGTGATATTTAATTTAGCGTTTGAACTTACTGTAAAAAAAAAAGCGTTTGAACTTTAGAACCTATTGCAAAGTGCAGGTTTTTTGGGGGTTTGAACTTACTGTACAAAGAATCGTGGATATGCATTTTTGGAGTATGAGTTAGTAGTCCCCTCTATGAAGCTTTTGGAAACTGGAACAGATCTGGGATATATCCAGACCTGAGTCCTCTTTGATGGGACATATCCAGTATCGACCAGACAGTATGAACTCATCAATCTAAACCGTGAAACTAAAGCCTATTGAATGGTATGAAAAAATTACATGAATCACCTACCACGAACTTTTTTGATTGCCATTAACTTTTTCCTTTTTATTTATGCAGAGTTTTGTCTAAATCCACAGACTAAGGTGCTTTGGTTACTCTCGTTTTGAGTACTGCCCATATCTAAGGTTAGCAATTTCCTGGAGCAGGTGTATGAACAGATATCTTTATTGTTTCTGTAAAAGTATGAACAGAGATCTAAGTGAATGGAATATCATTACAGGAGCAGAACTGTAATAACATACCGGAGGAGAACTCTGCTATTTACATAGTCTGATCATTAGGCTGACCCTAAGCTGACAGCAATAAATGACAACTCAGACCCAGATTTACATGCGGCAAAGAAGAGAAAATATCAGCAAAAGACAGGGAGGGAATATGTAAGATCAGCATATACATCTCTGTGATGAAAGGTATTTATTGTTTATAATATTGAGTAACAAACAAAATATTTAATATTCATTTCATAGATATCAAAGCAATAACTCGAGGAGTGGGGGATGGATGATAGAAAAGAAACGGGACCCCTCCATTCTTCTGAAGCAGAAAGATGACAATGGTACTGTAATCTGCATTTGGTGAGAAATTGAAATGCATAGGGACTATAGCTCAATTAATTGTGCTCATGGTGATGATGATGAGAATAAACAAATTATGCCAGTTAAATTTCACCAAGTAATGAGTAGAAAGAAAATATGCCAGCCATAAACAATCTTAACTTCACAGCTATACATGATCCAGTTATTTGCATGATGTCATGCTGCTACCTGAAAAAAAAAAAGAAAGAAGAGAAAAGCCAGACTCAGAATTTGAAAAGTTGATACAAAAATGAGTGAACAATGAGTGTTGGTACATGATAAAAATGAAAAATTGATACAGAAATGAGTGAACAATGAGTAAGAATAGATAGGTTATTTGCCATCTAACACCCACGCCTATAACAAGCTGCTGGTAAGGAGAGAAAAAAAAACAAGGGAACCATGTTTATATGACTGCAGATCAAGCCCTAAATCGTCAAATTTAAGCCCTTAAACAAGTCTTTGACTTCTTGTATTGTTTGCCAACCATGGATTGTGATATTAAAGAGCCCAAAATAGTACCTTCAAATATTTTTTCTATTAATAAATTTTTTTATTATTACTCTTCAAAAAAAATCTGAAACCATCATGATCATCTTACCAGGATTGAAAAATTTTTGCATATATGAAACATTGATACAAATTGCAAGTCGAGTTTCTTACCTGAAAAGGCCATTGTGATTTGTGAAGAGCAAAAACCTTGCTTCTCTTTCATTAAAAAAAAAGTCTTGCTTCTCCGTGGCTATGGAATTCCTGTGCCATCCTTCAGAAAAGTCCTGGATAACTTTGTACAAATTGAGACGCAAAATCAATTATATACTTTTAATTCTTATGAATGAGAGTAAACTAGTTCCAAAAGTATTATAAGATGAAACATGAGGGGGTATTTTACTGATGTGTATGTTTTTTAAACAAAAACAACTGCTGTCAGCAAAAACATATATTGGCAAACACTCCCTAAATTATAAGGAAAAATAGAATCAACGGATCAACAAGGTCAATTGGGGAAAAAGGCAAAATAGATCACATCCTACTCATCACTTACAAACGACCCAAGATTAATGTATGTATATCTCCCGGGCAGGACATAATGCATCAATCCTTCTTTAAGACATTTTAGTGTTGGTACATGATAAAAATGTCAAAGTTACCAAAATCGGGATTTGAAATAAAGATTAGAAGTCTGTGTCTCAAAGTTCCAGTGGCCCAACCAGATGAAGGGTCCCCCAGCCCCTAGTTGGTCAAGCCCTCTGCCGAAAGGGCATAATCTCTAGTTTGTCACTTTGTTGTTTTGTTTCTTTCTTGTTAACAAAGATTTGCTTGGACACACGTACAAATGGAAGGATGCAGAAAAAGAAAATGTCAGGCTTATGTTGAGAATGATGAAAGTAAACATACCGTTTTTTCTTCACCTGCATGGATAAGGAAGTAGTTCAGCTAGTTCCTTGATCAGTGCCTAGCACCATTGAGATTAAACTTCACAGCAAAGGTACATTATCCAAGTAGAGATGGTAGAGATTGTGAACTCCTGTGATAGCACCACGCATAACATGCAAACAAACAGGCCCAGGACCAAGATGTGATCAATCAAAAGAAAAGCAACCCTTCTTTTTAATGCTGAAGAGCAGTTCTAGCATCCAATCTGAGGGACCTGGTGAATCCCCAAAGACTGAAATGTAATCAGACAGGATTAAGGAAGAATCCCCTTCAGGTAATGACTGAGAGAAGAATTGTGTTACAAGGTTTCTCTTTTGTTTTTCTTACATAAAAAAATGTCAAAGGAGAATATTATTGACTAGCAGAAACACAAAATTTGGAATTGGCTGGAAGCCTGGTCTTGGCTAGGCCATAGATAAAGATGACACATAGTTGTATGAGCTCTTTTACATGGATATAGGGATTAACAATCGCATGGCATGATTGTGCTTGTGAACAGAATATATAAACCAATGATGAGCCACTGGATGAATTGCATATAGTTTGGCATTGTTTTCAAATGGAGCAAGTGTTTTAACCATTCAAAGAGCAACACATCTACATCCAACTACTCATCATTATTAAAAATGTAATGAAACAAGGAGTCTTTGAACCATATACAACTTTCTGAACAATGCGCCAGAACAATAAAATAGAAAGAACAGGACAAGAACAGTATGTTGACTGTCCTAAAATCTAAAACACACGCTAAGAATCATAATATATAATTATCCTTCAAATCAATAAACAAGGAGAGAGAATGGAAGAGATAACAATCTGGTCAATATAAGTCATGCTTGGGCAAGCTTTTTGACAAATGTTGCCATGTATTTGCCCTGATGCTCTGCAAGCGCCAGCTCTGTCCCACTTGGCTCTCTTGTGCCATCACCAGCAAAAACTCCAGCACCATATGGAGAACCTCCTCTAATGGAGTCCGTTCTGAACATTCCAGCTCCAAAGGTGTACCCAATAGGAACAAAGAGCATCCCATGGTGGGCTAACTGGGTGATTGCAGTCCAACTGCAAAGAAATAAGTTGCAAAACAAAGGACACTAGCAGGTCATTGACTAATTGCAGTGAATTCAAAACTCCACCAGACAATTCTATCTCTCTAATTGCAAGAGACTGTCAAACTGAAAGAATTATGAAATTAACAAAAGTATATTTTGGATGGGAAGTCCTGCAAGTCTTTTGATAATTGGGATGCAAGTTGCGAGGTCCAAAATTATTCAATGCTCTATTGGGTAGGAAGCAAGTTTCATCTAGGCTTTTTTTAAGAGCTTGTTCTATATATGTATCAACTGACTTGTAAGGTTGGTTGATATTTTCCATCTTGTAAAAAAAAACAAATACAAAAATATACTTCACATGCAAAAAAAAAAAAAAAAAAATATCCAGCTAAGTCGCTTGTTATTTACAAGATCTATGAGAAGATGAAAAATGAAGACAGACAGGAAGTTGTATTAAATTCTGCAGCATGTATTTGGAAAACAAAGCAGCTTGTATTGCCAGTTTCATTATAGCTGACTTTAAAATATAAAAGAAAAAAACCAGAAAAAAAAAACAAACAATTTGAATCTAGATTGATGACCTCTTCTCATAAAAATAAGATTAACTGTACCCCCATCTTGATATTGAAAGTTCTGCTCAAAAGGAACAAATGAAAAGATAAATTATTTTTAATTACAAAAAACACATTAAATAACCAACTTAGAAAAGAAGGTTTAGGACTTAATTGTGTGGTTTTGGTATAGAAATCTGAAGAGAGAAACCAGTCAATCTTACAAGTTAGTTGATGTTGTCATAGAGGTATACACATACATATTGATAAAAAAAAAAGGTATACACATAGATAATGAGAAATTTCATTACCAAGAAAAAGACAGAAAAAAAGGTAAAAAGACTTGTTAAGCTAGCAAGGCCAAAAACATAGAGCAAGCTATGAAGAAAATCCCAGATGATGCTTGCCTCCCACCCAAGTAAAGCATTGAATAAATTTGGACCTCCCAACCTGCACGAATCCCAATTATCAAAAGAAATTTGCAGGAGTTCAATATAAATTGACAGAAACCCAAAAATAAAAAAAAAAACAACAGACGCACTAAAAAAGAAGAGTAATTCAATGTAGCATCTGCTATGTTTGTATTGTTCCCTAACTCCAAACTTTTTTGATGATCTAGGATTTCTATTCCATCTCATACATTAGATCATTTTTTATATTGTCGATAAAAAAACTCAATATCAATTGAACTTATATCAATATTAGTCAAACTTATAATTGACTAAAATGAATCACCGGAGCAGAGGTCCACATATGGCGTGCTGGAAGCAGCTCCAACAGAAAAAAAAAGGGTCCAGAAAAGTCAAAGGCAGTAAGCAGACATTCTGCTGTGAGAGGATTTTCCCCATCATAAGTAATATCCATGTTTTTTTTTTTGATCGAAAAGTAGTAATATCCATGTTGAACCTAACTTTTTCTTCTATCAATTACAGTGGAACTTAATTATCATCAGCATTCATAAAAAAAAATATACACATTGAAAAAATCAGAAATAATTTTTCTTTAAAGGCAAAAGAACAGAAAGAAATAATAGTCTTTGACATTCTTCTAACATCAAAATAATTCAGTTTATATTTCTACACAGAAAAGAAGCAAAAGACTTGGCATTTAGGTTGGGTTTATAAATGGGATTGAGTTAAAGCTTGCAGAGAGATTTTGTATCAGTTCCTTCCATCAAATCAAAGGTACAGGTTGATCTCTGTGGTTGAGGCTGCATTTATTTATTCAACTTGACACATGGGAAGGGATTACTCTCCTAGTGAATCAGCTTGGTCTCTCATCCTTTCCACGAGCCTGGATGATATACCACTGGGGATGTGAAGATCCTCTTCTCCTTGAAGAGAATCTACTAGAATCTGAGAATTCTAAAACTGGCTTTGGGGATAAAAATATAATCCTTGGCTTCCTAGGAAACCTATTGACATTGCAAATTAGGAGAATTCCTCAACATAAAATTAAGTCCTCCAAAGTGAACCAAGCCCTGGTGTTATTTCTCATGGAATGCTACAGATGATGAAGGGAAGTACCATTTGGTAGCATGGTCACAGACTCACAGGTCTGCTTACCAACTGGTGGGGGAGGTATTGGCATCAGATCATTATCCACAGTGAACCTGTTGGACAAATGGCTGTGGAGGTAATGAGTGGAAAGGGAGGCTTTATAGAGGATAATTCATTGCAAATACAGGGACTCAGGGAGGGGTTGAGAAACTAACCCTGTCTTGCAGCCATATGGATCAAGCATTTGAAAAGGTATTATACAGCAGAAAGATCTGTTCTTGAAATTGATAGCTTTCAAGGTGGATGATGGTGAGAAGGTGAATTTATGGAAGGATGTATGGTGTGGGCCCAATCCCTTGGAAGTCTCTCATCACAGCATTTTTGCATTAGCAATTGATCAAGAAGCACTGGTGAAACAATGACAGTGAATTGATTGGAGGGCAAGCAGTGTGGGCACCTAGATTGAGAAGAAACATTTTTTATTGGGAGGCTGAAGAGCTAAGCTCTCCGCCAGAGAACCTCAATCACATACCACCTGATGGTGGCTTGGCTCAAAAATGGAGAGCAAGAGGCATGGTGTTGATCAACAGGTGCAGTCTCTGTTTAGGTGACATGGAACCGATTGACCACTTACTGATCCATTTGTCATATTCTTACTCTGTGGGTACACCTTTTGAACCTCTTTAGGACTTGATTAACCCCACAGAATGTATGCAGGCATGCAGACTTACTTCTGAATGGCCTGCACAAAGATTTAACAGAAGGGGGAGGTTTCTATGGATGCTGGTACTTATGGCAATCTGTTAGAACCTGTGTATAAAAAGAAATAGCAGAGTATTTCAAGGGATAGCATCCCCAGCAGAGAGAGTGATGGATAGGATGGAGAGGATGGTCTTCGGACAGGCAGGATTGTGGAGGGATTTTCATGGCCTCAACTACCAACACTTTTGTGATCAATGGAATCAAATTATTGGTTTAGGGAAATTGGTACATGCTCAAGAATATATTGTACATAACAGATCACAGTATATAGTTGAAATCATACGGGGTCTCCATCTCCTCCTTGGAGGAGTGGCTTTGTAATTACTTTTTGAGGTTCATAATATAATATTTCACTTTATACTGAGATTACCTTGTTTAGTTTCTCCTAGTTTAAGAAGTGTATACGAATGTAATGCTCAGTGTGGGAAGAGTACAAATACAAATATGTACAGTGAAAATAACCAAATACAAGGTTGTCCTGTACATTGTACTCTTCCCAAACTCTCCCTAAAGTTTCATCACTTAATGATCCTATGATAATTGGCAGGTTAACAACTCGAGATAGGTTTATCTATTGAAAGGTGACCTACAAACAGGAAACGTTCTATAGATACATGTTTTGAACAATGTGTATGACCTCCATAAATGTGATTACACCATTTCCATTTTTAAATATATTCTTAGTTTGTCTAAACCATCATAGAACAGGGTTATAGGAAGCATGAGATGCAGTTATTCATGATAGAGGCAATAAAAAACAGCTTATCAAAAAAAATTGCAAAGGTTATTTTTAATGTTTGACATGGTCTACCAATAAGGAATTGACCTGTTTTTTAATGAATAGGAATTGTCCTGCTGTTTACAATCAATTTCATAGTTGTCAAAGGTGTCTAGGCGATTCTGGTGACAGTGAAGTGCCTAATCACCTAAGCGACCCTAAGTGATAAGAATTTCACAAAATAAAAAACTAAGTTTACCTAGTTCCCTAGTTTTATATACCATTCAGCATGTATATAATTGGGAAAAAAAACATCTCTTTATTAAGAACATTAAATCTCCTCTTAAAACATGCCAATTAATCATATCTAGGACAATAGTATTTCATTTTTTTTTAATCTCAATACTTTCTAAAATAATACTAATTTCAATACTTTTTAATCTCAATATAGCAACTAAATATGGTTGTATTTTTATACAATTAAATTTAAGAAATAGAATAAGTAAAAGAGAAAAAAAAAGAACAAGGATGGAGCTGCTGTTTTATTTAATGTGTGTGTGTGAGAGAGAGAGAGAGAACAAAAAAAGAAACATATTTATATTTCTATTCTTTTTTATTTTTCCGTTTTCAAAACCACCGAATCTTTTTAATTTCAATAGTAAAACTTTAAAACAAGGTATAAATAATAATATAGTATATAATAGAATGTATAAACATACATATTAGTAAGATGTAGCAATATAAATACTTATCAAAGAAAAAAAAAGATGTATCAATATGAATAATAGATATTATAATAAAGCACCCACCTTGTCGTACTAAATTGGCACCTTGTTGCCATGAGTCAAGGTGTTCAAGTGAGGTGCCCAGCTAGGGGTGTCAATTGACCGGTTTTGGATTGGATCCAATCCGATCCAAACCTTATCAAATCGGATTTGGACGGTCCGCTATAATTATTGGATTGGTCCAATCCAAAATAAATTGGTCCATATTCTTATTGGTCTGAATTGGATCTAAACCAAATTTCCAATAATCCGATCACGAGGCCAAACCCTTGTCCAATTTGAAAGCAATCAAAACTGAAGCCGGCATAAAATCACTTTTATGAAAGTACTTTTACGAAAGCACTTTTACAAAACACTTTTACGAAAGCACTTTTATAAAAGTACTTTTACATTAAAGCACTTTTACAGAAGTACTTTTATAAAAGCACTTTTACAGAAGTACTTTTATAAAAGCACTTTTATGGAAGTATTTTTACTTACGTAAGCACTTTTATGGAAGTACTTTTATAAAAGCACTTTCATGAAAATACTTTTATGAAAATACTTTTACAAAAGCACTTATAATAAGAACTTCTACGAAAGCACTTTTACAAAAGTATTTTTGCGAAAGCATTTTTACAAAAGCACTTTTACGAAAGCACTTCTACGAAAGTACTTTTACAAAAGCACTTATACGGAAGTACTTTTATAAAAGCACTTCTACGGAAGTACTTTTACGAAAGTACTTTCATTAAAGTACTTTTATGAAAACACTTTTACAAAAGTGTTTTTTCAATGCCAAAAGAGTATTTTTTTGTAATTTTCAGATTTTCTTCATTTTAATATATGTTTGTAATTTTTTATATGTTCTGTTTTTTTATATAATTTTTTATATTTCATTGGGTTTGGATTGGATCCAATCCAATTCATTTACATTTTAATATATTGGATTGGATTTGGACTGGATTGGGTCCAGTCCACTTGTAAGTAGATTCACATTGGACTGGATTGGGTTGGACCAGTCCAATTGACACCTCTATACCCAGCCAAGGTTGCCTAGTCGCCTAGGCGATGCCTTGGCAAGTATTTGTTTCTTTTAGATCTTTTGATCTATAACAGTCAATATATTTCTAGTGGTGAAGCATGAAGTAAATGCAAAATACAAGGCACTAGGCAAAGTTATCATTTCTCGAATTGGTCAATCTGCAATCCAATCAAACAAGGAGTTCACCATAGATTTTTTTTTTCTTGCCTCTTTTATCTGATCACTAGGGACCCTTGGGTCGCTATACTAAACAGGTAAAATTGTGGCTAGTTAGTTATTTGGCATAGATGGATCCTACACAGGATCTCTTGGGGTTAAGGAGGTCTTTTAGAGATCAACTTGAGGTTACTGTAGTGGCACTCATGACTCACCTGCGTCAGTTATATTCCACGAACTTCCAAGTATGAAAAGTGATAATAGCTGCGTAAAGTGTATCAAATCAAAAGTAGTACCCCTACCTTTTTTTAAGCAACAAATCACAAACTTCTTCTACATATAAGTATATAACATGCATCCAAACATTAGGAAATAAGACCTTAGCATGATGGGACAACAAAAAAAAAAAAAAAGAAAAAGAAAATAGGCTCTCCTTCTTCACGCAATAGAGCGGAGAGTAGTAGACTTACGCAGTGGTTTCTTGACCTCCTCCTTGCGTACCGGTGCTCACAAAGAACCCAGCTGGCTTCCCGGCGAGCTTCTGCTCCTTCCACAATTGCTCTGTAGAATCAAAGAAAGCCTTCATTTGTGCTGCCATGCATCCATACCTTGTAGGAAATCCGAACAAAACCCCATCAGCCATTACTAGCTCCGCGGCAGATATCACCGGAACGTCTACATCTTTAGGAGTAACCTTCATCTGCACCAGAACCTCATCCGGCAATGTCTCCGGAACACGAAACAGAACCCCTTCGACACCTTCAATCCCATCCACACCTTTCTTCATCCGTCTTGCCAACTTCTCTACATGTCCATACATAGAATAGAACACAATGAATATCTTCAACTTATGGAGCGGCAGCGACGCCGTATCTTCAACTGAAACAGTGGCATCAGTAGTCGGGCTCCTGTCTTCAGTAGGTAATGGCGCCTCCCTTGCCGTTTGTGGAGGATTACCGGAAGAAACTAACGGCAATCGCTTTTTGCTCGGCACGCAGCCACCTCCTTTCCCCATAAAAACCCAATATTCTCACTGAGCGAATTCGTTGCCAATACGATTACAAATGCCAATTGAACTGATTTCAGTCATTTGACCTAACTCCTGAGCTTGCAGGGCTCTCCGATCCCAACCATGGTTAGAATTTTTTGCGAGTTTCCTCCTCGAGGGTTTTAACCGTCGTAAAACTCCAAGGTGAAGGATTTACTCGGGCAATTTCAGCATATCATGCGCAGGGTTTGCACTTATCAGCCGCAGGCAGTCAAAAAATGCGTTGAGCCGACTGGTAATAGGTAAACAACTTCCGAGCTGCACGAAACTGGTAAATGGCCAAATGGGCCGCTACAGGATCCACGCTTGCTAATCTCTAATTATCCTCCTTTGATCTACCACATTCTCTGATCTCTAATTATCCAATTCTCTGATCCACCATATTTATCCCTTATATTTATATCTATTCTCTTTTTTTGGGTAAGGTAATTATATCTATTCTCAATGTACTTTAAACTCCATGTTTCAACCCAAAATGCTATCAACCCACACAGCTCCGCTGAAACAAGTAATTGTGTGTTTGGAATCATGGGCCTTTATTTAATAAATTCTGTCATATAGGTATCATTTCAGCATTTCTCTGATTATGTTAATCTATTGGGGGAAACTTCATTTTAGTATGTGTTTGGTTCCCTTTATGTTTATTGGGTGGTTGTTTATTGGAAAAACGTTTATCTAATAAACATCCACTTTAAACGTTTTTTGTTTTGTTGTTTGGTTAAGGTGTTTCAAAAAATGCCCTTTTATAATTCAGCACAATAAACTTTTTTTCATTTCATGCTGTTTGGTGGAACGTTTCAAGAAACAACCATATGGATGTTTCAGTGTGAGACTTTAACTTTGGTGTATAGGATCTATTAGTCAATCCAACGGTCCAAATTACATGTGCTTGTATTTAAAGACCGATTTTTAGATCCAACGGTGAAAATATGATATAATCCACATTCAACGGTGGATATATGACTCTCTCTCTCTCTCTCTTCTATTTTGTTATTTCATTAATATTTTGTTAATTGGGTTAGGAGGCATTCCTTTTTCTTGCTAAAGGAAAATAAGGAAATGTATTATAAATTAACAAAGTTTTTATAAAAAACTATTCCATATGAATACTCAATTCTCACTTGGCCAAGCTCATCTGGATGCTTTACTAAATTTTATTTATCCATGGACCCTTATCCCCCATATCCTTTTTGACCAGGTCCAGCACTTGAATCCATTTCTTTAAATGGTTTTACTCTACAATCCCTTCACTGAGTCAATATTTGCTCTACAAGTGCACGAGAAGGGGAGGTACAGGCCCTGTATTTTTCACTTTCTCGACCCTTTTTAAGGCTTGTACCGCAGCCCTCGATGTCAATCCTGGGTGGCAAATACATTGCCAAACTATTTTGGTTGGTAGGTTTGAGTTAGATCTTTATTGATGCAACAAAATGTATATATCTAGAATGTGGTTGTTGAATATTTGATGCAACAAAATGTATATATCTACAAGTTGCAGAGTTGTTTGACGATTTGCCTGAGAAATACATGGTGGCATGGGCGGCAACTGTCATAGGTTATGCCCAAAATTGAAGGCCAAAAGGAAGCACCAAGAATTTTCGAAGAAATGCAGGATGTAGGTGCAGAAACAGATGAAGGCACAGAGACAGAGGCAGGGTGTCCATTACACATCTGTCCTGAAGCCTATTGTCCGAGAGACTGGTTTGACAGAGGCAGCCTTGCTTCTACTTGTTTTCTTTTGGGAATTTATTGCCTTTTTGAGTTTTTGATCGTGATTTTCTATTTTACTTGTATATGGCTAAAGTAAACACTCAAATTAGCCGAATTGCTTCTGCAGTACAACAAGTGAAATCAACAGTAACCGAAATCAACTGAATAATCTGCAGTATAACAAGTAAAATCAACTATAGCCAAAACGGATTTGCTTCTCAGTCCATCTCTAACAAGGATCAAGAAATGCAAGATGACAGTGTAATAGATGCAATCAATGAGTATCTTTTCAAGCTCAAAATCAAAGAAGAAATATATGGTGAAGAGTAAAGAGTGAAAATGATAGATCTGTCTGCATGCTAAAAGAAGAACACAGGCTCAAAGAAGAAAACGATAGACAGAGAACTTAGGAAAAAACAGAGGGAAAAATCGAAAAAATAGAAAACGATAGATCTATTACCTTGCCGACGAAGAACGACGTCCACTGCTCTTCCGGGCTCCAGTCTCACTCCTCCGATCATCTATCTACGGGCGACGTCAAGCTTGCTCGTGGTCAGGGTTTCAACGAATAGAGAAACAAAAGAAGAAAATCATGGGACGGTAGATTGGGTTGCATCGGATCAAAACTTGCGGGTGCCACAAATGCACAACCGTTGGGGGAAGCGAGAAATGGGAAAACGTTTATTTTCAAACTTACTTGAAAAAATGGGAAAGGTGCCAATAAACATTTATTGTGCCAAAATTATCTGATAAATGTAAACGGAATCAAACATCTCTATTTTTTCAATGTTATTCACTGTTTTGTTGATGTGACGTCTAATGACGCATAAGTGTTCATAAACGGATTCATCCTTACTTTTTCGGTTTTTCAAACAAACTAAATACAAAACATTTAATGAATAAACATCCACGATTCCAAACACATAATAAATCAAAACTTTGATTTTCTGTTACACCTTAAACACGTTTGTAACACGTTTGGACAAACAAAATAAGAGATACAAATGACTTGTATAGAAATAGTCCACAACTCAATGGATAAAGCATACTTGTTAATTTTGTATACATTTCTTGTGCACAGAGCTTGTTTATTAATTTTGTTAGTTCCTCTTAATGCACAACAAAGGTATTAGATTTAAAGGTGCATGCAGTGAATTTCTACATCCGCTGTCTTTCCCAGTTTCCCGTGGTTGGCCAAATAGTTGAACTCCCATATATAACTTTGGTTATAGGTCGTCAATAAATATCTTATCAACTATAAATTTCTCGAGGAGACCACCAACAAAAGATGTATTTGAAACATATGGATATCTTTAAAATCTAGGGATCTTCTTGTCAAGGGCTTAAAGTGGATGATAGACAATGAAATAATGATATCCTTTTGGACAGATAATTGGGCTATAAAACACCTTCATTGTAAAGGTCCGTTACTTCATTACATGCCAAAGACACAAATTAGATGGATTATTTAAGTCAATGGGGTGAAGCGGAACACCAAGAATTCTCACTTAGGGGATAGTCCAAAGTATTCTTGCAGATTTTTGGCGTTAACTCTTAAACTTTGTAAAAAGGCCAGCTTTAACTCCAAAGAAAAAACTTTGATAAAAAATGCCATTTGTAGGCAAAAACATACTACATTTGAAACAACATTGTTGAATCCATTAAACTATGAATAAAATAATAAAAATATGCTTATGTGGCACCATTAAAGTTTGGAAAGTGTCACTTTAGACCCTAAAGTGTGAAAATGAATTGCTTTAATAAAGTTAATTAAGTAAATTACTCCAGGATATATGGTCGTATAAAGTAATAAATTATATTGATTAAGATAATTAAATAAAGTTAAGCATTTAAGTAAGTAAATTAAATTAATTAAGGAAATGAAATTAGTTAATTAAATTAAACAAACAAAGCTAATTGATCTAAATAAATAAATTAAGCCAATTAAGTGGTGTTTCAAAAACCAACCCAAAATGGATTGCTTTGGCTACTAGTTTCTAGGTCAACAGTTTGATTGTATGCCTCGAATATACCAACTCATGATGTTTTGAAAAAAAATATATATAATTAAAATGAAAAATGATCTAAAAACCATTTACCAGATTGAATAGGTTAGCGATTCAATCGACTGCTCAGGTCAACGACGATTTTAAAAATAATGCAGTTAATTGAAATAACTAATTAATTAAATAAATAAGTAAATTAAGCTAAGTAAATAGAGCAATTAAAGAAATTAAGATAATTAAACTAAATAAGTATATTAAGCCAACGATGTAAATTAAACAATTGAATAAGTAAATTAAATTAAATAAACATATTTAATCGATCTAAATAAGTAAGTTAGGCCAATTAAGTGAATTAGCTAATTGATTAAGTAAATAAAGCAATTAAATAAATTAAGCTAATTAAACTAAGTAAGTAAAATAAGTCAACAAAGTGAATTAACCAATTGAATAAGTCAACTAAGAAAATTAACTAATTGATTAAGTAAATTAAGTCAATTAAATAGAGCAATTAAAGAAATTAAGTTAATTAAACTAAATAAGTAAATCAAGTCAACTAAGTGAATTAACTAATTTATTAAGTTAATTAAGCAAATTAAGCTAAGTAAATAGACTAATTAAACAATCAAAGCTAAATAAGGTGAATAAGTAAATTAAATTACTAATAATCGAATAAACTAAAATAAGTAATTGAAGTATTTAAAGAAACTAGGTAAATTAATTTAATTAGAAAACGAAGTTGCTAAGTTAAGTTAAATAAGTAAAAAAGTGATTGTTAGTTTATTATTAACTATGCTAATTAATTTAGTGTTTAGATAATAAATTACTCTTAACTGTTGCTAATTATTTACTGTTAAATTAACTATTGTTATTTTAATGACTGTAACTTGATAAAATCCTCGAAGTAATTTTTTAAAGATTAATAAAATTTATATTTTAATATCTAAAGTGATTCATTTTCAAATTTGGGATCTAAAGTGGCATTTTCAAACTTTAACAGTACAACATAAGCATGTTTTTATTATATTTTATTTGTTGTCTAATGGATCTATTGACATCATTTCAAACATTATATGTTTTGTCTACAAATGGCCTTTTACACCAAAGTCCTCTGGGGTCAAAATTGGCCTTTTCTCAAAATTCATGAATTGTCAAAGCCAAAAATCCGAATCCCTACCATTTATATCGAAATAATTAAGTAGGGAAGGCTTGGCCTTTTATGAAATGATATTTGCCTATCTAACATCAAGGATATAGACTACCAAAACCTCTTTACCCCTGGAACAAAAGATTAATTTATAAACAATTTGATGGAGCCAAATTAGTGGAAATGATATGGATAGTGGCGAACGGATAAAATAACCTTATTATGCGTAATTGAACTAAATAGAAATGAATTCATATTCAAACCAAAGAGTCTACAAGTTCAAGATTAGATGAGATGCAATTCAACATGTTACAAATTAATTCAATGTTAATGATGCCAATTTTCAGAATGAGCTGCACTTGATGGCTGTATTAAGAGTTGTTTAACAAACAATAACACCCCATGACAGCCGTAAGTGTATATATACCTGATGAAGGAAGATTTGGCTCAACCTCGCAATCACGTTACGTGGTAAAAAACAAGTAGCTCGGCATTTAAAGCAGCGTACCCAGGGTGCAAACACCAAAGAGAAAAAATCAGCAGTCCGAACTCCCCTCGAGAAGACCGAACTCCCTTCGAGGAGTACGAGGTACTGATAGCCGGGCTGAACCTAGCACACAAGGTTGGAGCAAAGCACGTAGTTATCTGCAGTGATTCCCAGTTCGTGGTTAACCAAGTTACAGGCGAGTACGAAGCACGCGAGCTCACTAAGATTGCATACTTGGCAAAAGTAAAGGAGGCTCTGCTCAACTTCCAGACACACTTCATCAGGCAAATCCCGAGGTCAGAGAACACTGAGGTTGACGCCCTGTCCCGACTAGCCAGCACGAGTCACAACGCCATGAGAACTGTGTACATAGAGGACTTACCTCGGCCCAGCATTCTCGATGGGGCAGAAGAGGT